GGGAGATCTGGCGTTGGCCGATCGCGAGAAGCAGGTAGGAGGAGAGGGGCAGCTGGAGGAAGGTTGAGGACACCTTCCACAGGCCGAGGGACAGGAGGCTATCCCTTGGGGACAGGGGGTAGATGAGGACGGAGATGTCGGTATGGCAGACGTCAAGAGGGATTAGTGCAGGCCAATGAGTTTGAGAGAGTTGGAAGGAGAGAAATAGAAGTGGATGGAGTGATGCGGATGTATGGCTGGCGTATGTTTTGACGCGGAGATCGGAATCGTATAGAGCGAGGAAGCTGATAGGGCCGAGAGAGACGGCAGTGGGTTACGATGTGTCACTCCCGGTACGCTTAGATGAGATAGCGAGTGTGCCGATTTATCACTTCGGTACTTGGTTAGCGGAAGAAGTGTTCTTGTGGACGGTGATTACAGAGGATAGAGGATTCGAATTTCCCCGACGACTGACTGGAAAGGATAGGCCATCTTGTGTTTGACAAAACACAAGATATAGAGATAGGGTTGACGCTTGCTGGCGTAAGCTGAGGTTGGTGGAGTTACGAGGTTTTAGCGGAAACGATAGTGAGACAGAGACTGACGTCCATTACGAGAGACAGACCTTTCACTACTTGAGTCGTGACCGGTCCTCCTCACTTGATTTACCATCCGGTAGAGAGCTGGCGGATGGTTCTACCTAAATTTGTCATAGAACAAACTTACGGGAGCATAGACTGCTTGACAAGAGGGGTCAACCACACGTTGTGCGCACTCTGGTTGGGGTTAGCGCCTCAATTTCGAGAAGCGTACTATGCGGTCTGCGTGAGGTGGGGACCACCGGATGAGGAGACGTGGAGAAACTTGATCGACGCTACTTGCTGGGTGGATTGTATGAGGCCTGCCGATCTGATTTACTTTTGTCGTAGGCGCGTAGTGGACAAGTACGTAGGGCTGGAGGACCTGAGATACTTGTTTTGTGCATAGTTAGCAGAAGGGATGCCAGGTCGGACGACTACGGGAATTAATGTGAGCAGGCAATTAGTGAACGAGGGTTTCACGATTATTGTCCTACTCAGAGCGCACTTAGACGACAATCTGACAGAGTATGAGAGCTTCTTACAGACCAGGGAGTTCATTCGTGAATACAGGCCAGAAGTTCTTGAATGCGTGACCTTCCAAACCAAGATAACGTATGAAGTGATGGTATGGTCAGTCAGATACTTACGCGCGGAATTGTCCTTTGATGAGACGGTAGCAGAAGCTAGGAGTAGGATATGAGTCGATTTACCTTGTCATGACAGAGCGCGGGCGACAATTATATCGTTATAGGCCTCGAGCTTCGTATTCTCTCCGGTGGGATCGCAGAGGGTCCGACTCCTGGAGGAGTGTGAGCGGGAGGAATCCCCGAGTAGCTACTCGAGGAGGTGAGACGAGCTGCCTCTCTTCTCCGCGACGACTTCTGTATGCTCGAGTTGTCTCAAGGCAGTTAGCGTGTGACAACGAAATTCTACAGATTCTCTTGAGGGTGAGCGTTGAAGAGGAACTGTCGGACGGCGAGTTCAAAGAACTTGCTGAGGACGTCATACGGGAGCAGAGATTTGGAGCACTGAAGGAGTTGACAATACAGAGTTGGGAGGTATATGAGGTGATTATTTGTGTAAAAGGGAAAGTGCGCTTGGAGATAGTGTGAGACGAGACGCCCACAGAAGCTCGGAGTAATATGTGATAGGCGCTTTAAGCTTAGAGGAAGATGGGTCGCGAACGATGGAAGATCTAGGTGAGAGGAAAGAGAGAGTTGAGGATCGAATCATAAAACCAGTGGTTAAACAAGTTAAGGAGCTCGGCATCAAGATTCAAGATTGTGGGCCTAGCAAGGATAGGAGTGAGCTGTGTAGGATAGAAGCAGCGATGAGGGCTTTAGGGCGACTTTTCATAAAGGATAGAGAATTCTTCAAAAGATGGCGTCTATAATTTTTAGAGACCGTCAAGAGGAGAGATCGTAGTAGTGAGGAAAAAGAGGGTTCGCTCGAGTCGACGGGAAGGAAAAAAGAATTGCTAGAGGTCGCGACGTCGAAAGAAAAGACAAACGTTGAAGGAACGTCGGGAAATGAAGGAAGAGGATGAGCCTTGAGAAGTATTCCATGCGCGTTGTAGGGAGGTCGGATGGACCAATTGCTTGTGTAGTGATACAATTGGTTCATTTGGAAAGACTCAACGTGATCGAAGAGGCAGAGTGCACTCGACAGGCCGTGCAGAAGGCACGAGTAACCGGATTCTGGGTAGGCGAGGGAAGCGCGTGTCTGATCAACTATTCGTTGTGCGTGTCTCCCTTAGATGAGCGGCCCTTGAGTAGGGCGTGGCGAGAGACTCCTAGAAAGGCTGAGAAACGCCTAAAAAGTGAAGCTGAAGTGGCAGGAGAATTGGCAGAAATCATAGTGGAAAGTTTCGTTCTTAGAATGTTCAAAGCACACAACCAGTATTGGAGCGAGTACCTTAAGACCCTAGCAAATATTGAAGATTTTAAACGACTTTGAGACGTTCTACAAATTGCTGGAGGAATCCATGGACAGGGTTCTTTTGGCACTGGCCCTAGTTGCGGCTGAATGCTAGAGGGTCCATGGAGACGGGTAAGAAATGCCACTACCAGAGGCGGAACTAGCAAGGAGGAGACGAAGATTTGGAGCTTGGAGCGGTCCTTATGAGACTGAGCACGAGAGAGTGCTTAGGGAATTCAGCGCGATTGGCAGGCGCGAAGTCTTCCCGTACGAAGTGATCAAGTATCAAGTACAGAACAGTGGGATTGAACGTAATCAATACTATATTATGACCGTACGGTTCCGTGATCTACGAGTATACCACGGTGGTATATACCTGCCAGAGAGAGGGAGGAGTTCTGCATATACGGTAGAACTTGGAGAAGGGCAGTGTGGGCATTAAGAGAAGAGGAGAAAAGGTTAGAAGGATTGGGGAAGATTGTCGAAGTCTGCGACGACATCACGATCTTTGACGGCCTGCCTAGGCCGCCGGTCCCATATAGAGGACTGGAGCAAAATGGCTGGGAGCCGGTAGTGGATTTCGCTCGGACAATCAAGACAGAAGGTAAGCTTAAGAAGACAACAAGAGACGAATATAATGAAGGAATGAGCGGAGAAACGACTATCTCTGAAAGTGAATTGCGATCTAGAAGGGAGAGATTTCTTGCTGGAAACCGGCCATCTGAGGAGAGGTTAGCGACTATCTGCAGTCTTTTGAGTTTGTTAGGGAAGAGAGAAGCGATTCCGTATGAGGTAGAGAGATACGACTTTGTGGACAGCGGATGGGAGGAGATACGTCTATAAGTGATGACTGTTCGGTTTATCCATTTAGACGTATATGATGTGAGGATTTACTTACGTGTGGAGAGAGGGGTGGACTTTGTCTACGGTCGTTGTTGGGAGCGAGCAGAAGAGGTCGTAGAAGCTGAGCGAGATAGGTTATTAGCTCTAGGGAAAGACGTTAACTGGAACACGAAGATAACGGTCTTTGAGGGACTTCCTAAGCCCCCAATTCTGTGCCAGATCGCGCAAGAAAGGAACTTAGAAATTGTGATTGAACTCTCTTTGAGGCATCAAGCGATGGATGGCCAGAGGCGGTGAGTATCCGGTGTCGTGCGGCAAGGGTTGAACGATCTGGAGAGAAGGACATCTGTTGATCTACGAGAGCGGTTGTGAGCTTGTAGTCGTGAGGAGTTACGCGCTATAGGGAGCGCGATTTGTAGGGAAGTCAGGTGTCTTGAGACGGGAGTGCTAGAAGTCAGGAGAGGTATTGCCTGTATAGAGAGACAAGAAGGACGACTTTTCCTTGACACTGGGGTACTGGGAGTCGAAGGAACTCACGAGATACGAGACGAGAGCGGGAGATTGATAGTGATACTAGGAGCGGTTGAGAGCTAGAGATTGGTACTTTGAAGATCGACAGAGCTGGTTCTTACATTAGGTCCGGGCTGCCGGTTCTGACATTAGGTCTGGGCTGTCGGTTCTGACA